AAAGCTCAGAGAGTGGACACTCTGAAAATGTCAGGGTGAGAGCTTTTGAACTGTTTACTATAGCAATTCAGTTGCTATCCACCTTTTTTTCTACGCTCCATGGTACTTTGCGCGAATTATGGGAGTATGTTGCACTGTAAACAATCAGAGAAAAGTTGGCAATGTGAATGCGAAAATAAACACTTTCAAAAACTGGGTGCATTGAGGTGACTAATGCAAAACGATCTAATATAATGCAAAACAATCCTGACAAACATAAGCTGCTTGTTACCAGAGCAAACGTGTAGTGATTATTTTCACCAACAGAGGGCTGTTACACTGATTACTTGTCCACAAAGAACATGGACAAAAGTCTATTATCATCATAGTGCGATTATCATCAATTATCAAAAGAGACACTTTTAACTGTTTGAAGGTAGCCATATACTAACTAGTCACCTTAAATGAAATAATAGTCCTACTGTTTGTATGTACTGTATAATAGAGCTTAAACAGGGTGTGTGGATTTTGTATATACTTTTTAATGTTATCTAAAGTTCATGGGTAAAAGTACACCCTGTATTAAAAAAACAACTAAACTATAAAATGTAAAACAATTGCTGCGATTATCACAACTTAAAACAAGTAATAATGCCTTGTTTTAACTTAGTGTTCAGGCTTGACTTAATTATGAGTCATCTTAGTTAAGTTGTTATAATTTTGTTATAATTTGAAATTATAACTAATTGCAGCTGCATTTTGTACAGTGCACAAGCAACAATTCCGCAATTACATTTGTAGAATGCACTGGACTTTTTTTTATTGTCATTGACACACCCACTTGTACACAACTAGAAATAAAACCCTTTATCTCTGCAATAAAACACGCGTATAGATGGCAAACCTAAAAAAAAAAAAGTCATCTTGATGTTATTCTTGTTTGCATGTCACCAATACTTCCTCAGTTATGCCCACTGATTCAGAATAAATGCTTGGGATGTGCAGGAAAAAGTGTTGCTCAGAGCCGCTTTGTTACAACCTCATCTTTTATTTGTATAATGTGTCACTGTCCCTGGATTTAAGGGTCAGGAGAGAATGCCTGATGCTGGCAAATATGACTGAAAATCCAAGTGTGGATGGCAGATGGTTAGGTGGGATTGTGTTTATGCAACAAAACACCTTTCCATCCAAGGGAATCATTTTCAGGATTCATGCTGCTGTTCTTTGATTTTTCAGAGATTTCAAGTGGTTTCTTTTTTTATATGCTAAATGGGTAAAAACCGATTTTAGTAGTAGTTTGCGTATTCGTGTGCATGTAAATGCGCTCACTGAGTTTAGACTTTAACCTGATTTTTCCAGCACATTAAAAGACTGTTGTCAGTTTGTTCCTGGCCAAAGGGCTTAGTCCTTAAATTTCCATCATGTTCAACTGATATGTAACTGGTGCTTTAACAGTGGCCTAAATTTTCTGTCATGGGAGTAGTTAAATATTGACAGCGACCGCAGGCCATATATGGTTAATCCTTTTTCTCATTAACTCCACTTTAATGTTAAAGGTAAGATTGGAAGTCTTACTAGGATAGGAACCATTATAGATAGGATAGATTGTAAATGCACAGAAGATGGACAAGTTAGAGAAAAATGTCTGTGCCCAGTACCCTACACTTAATATTTAATTCCAAAGCAAGAGAAGAGAAAACAAACAGAATGCTTTAACATAAAAATGTTGCCTTAAGAAGAGTGAGTTAGAATCAGTTGCTTATGTTTAATATCAGTAGTTCAAGTTTGCGTCTCCTGAAAGCATTGTGAGGTATAGACTGATATGTAGAATTATAGCTCAATTGGGAAAGTGACTGGTATGTCAAGGGCCTGAAACCGACTGTTGGACCATTTTGAATTTAGTGGTGCATACTATCATCTTGGCTAATATAATCAATAATATTTTAAAAGTGATCTCGGTCTATAATTGTGCCTTTTACCTAGGGCTGGGCAAAAAAAATTGATTTTCCGATTAATCGTTTTTTTAAATGACGTCGATTCGATATTGATTCTCAAAAGCCGCGAATCGATCTTTTCCAGTATTTATTTCAGCACACATTTAAAACCAAATCTGATTAACGTGGCCTATTTGAAAACTACATGGTATGTGTGTTGGAGCAGGGATGGAACAAAACTCTGCAGGGCTGCAGAGTTTGTCACCCCTGATTTAAAACATTGAAATTTTTCTGTTGATAAATGATTGCATTTTTCTGTATTTTGTAATGTTCCCTGAGGTCCACCTTTATTGTTAATAAGATTTTTTGGTCACACTTTAAGGTCCAATTCTGACTACTAACTATGACCTTTGCCTCAATACTAAACTCTTAATTTGCTGCTTATTAATAGTTAGTAATGTAGTTAAGTTTAGTTATGGGGTAGGATTAAGGGATTTAAAATATGGTCATGCAGAAAAAGACATTAATATGTACTAAAAACAGCCATCATGCTAATAAATAATGCATGCTAAGCAACTACTTAGTAGTGAGAAGTGGTCCTTAAAATAAGGTGTTACCCTTTTTTTTTTTTTTACCGCCGTCTTTACCGCCTGGTTGAGTTCAACAAGATAGTTTAAGTCAGAAAGTAGAGGACAGATAGTGAAAGTTGGAAACTGGTGAGCCACAGGGCTAGGGCTGAGCCTGTTGGCATAACAGTCACATACGGTTGTGAGTACCGCCGGCAGTGGGATGGCAAAACACATTTTTGCACATAATGTTTTTTCACGTTAATCTTAATACGCCAGTGAAGTACAAAGCTTTGTTAACAAAATAATTGGTTAGCAGCCAAATGTTACATTGTGGCCATGGAAACATTTGAATTTATACGGAAGAAAAGTGGTATGTGAGCACATAAATTTTAATTAAGCCATACACTACATTAGCCAAACTTTTTTTTTCCTTCTGTAAGTTTCAGCCTATTTAGGTAATTTGTTGTTCACATTGTGCACAGAAACTTTTATAGAAATATCTTGTCTCATTAGCTATGTTTCCATCACCCTATTTTAATGCATATTTTGAAGTATCGCATGAGAAACGAGTGATGGAAACGCCAAATTTCGAATAAAAATCCCTTAATTCGCAAACAAGTTTTTACATTCGCTTGAGGTGGTTGTGCCTAAACTGTAACTCACTCAGTATTAACTACTTGTTTGGTAAACTGTTGTATAAAATCAACGTCACATTTGCGAGTGCACTGACATGCCCATACTTAGGAAAACTGCACTCTTGCTTGTGTGATTACGCTTTGTGAGTACTTAAAGGTGCAATAGGTGATTGTCTTCAGAAACATTTTTTGTTATGCTGGTTGAAAATCTCTTCACATCCCGATAGCAATCATTAAGTTAAGTGGTCTAAATGTATTTGTCTGTATTTATATATTCTGTGGAAGGTGTAGGATCAAGAAATGTTCGTCTAATCAAAACGTTCGGTCCGAGCGTTTTAATATGCTTTCCTACCTGCCTGTCAACGTATGTATTAGCATACCTCTGCGCACCCAGTTCGCGCAGACAGGATACTCATCAGCGCGTTCACGCACGCTGTGCAGACAGAGCGAGGATGGCAGGCAAACATCAACAAGCCGATCTTCCTTCCTGGTATTGTAGTACTTTTAAAGATTTCTCACCGGTGAATGACACATGATGTAGCCCAGCGGTTAATCCAGTCCTCGCGCCAGCTCGTTAGAAGTGAGCTACGTGCATGAACTGTGTTCCGATCGATATGATCCCTACACAGAGTTCATTGCTCCCTACTCCCTGAGCAGGGGAAATCCGTTGAAGTTTACTTCACTTCGGAACATGGGCTGGAACTGGGAACCTGATGTAGCCTATTGTAGTAATGTTGTCTCTGGTCTGTGAGTGTAAATGCATTCAGGGGGCGTGGCTTTGGATGGCGATTGCAGGAAGGGTGGGACGTTCGCTTTCAGTGCTATCAGGCTAAAGTTAGCATTTTCCAAGATCTCCTATTGTACCTTTAATTATAATATATCTAATAAATATAAAATACAAAAACAGGGCTCCAGACTGCATGCGACCATTTTTTCTGCCAGTGTGAGTACATTTTGTGCGCGGTCTCACTGGCGCAACCACCGCGTTGTTCAACTCGCACATGAGAAACATCAAACAGCAAACGAAACAAAAGCGGAAAAAAATCCCGCTACTCGTTTGGCAGCAGAAGAGCACTTATTGGCTTATTAGTCATTCATTTATACTTTTTCCTTTATATTTTGAAATGATAAAATAACAATTATAAAATCACTATTATAAAATATCAAATCATCAAGAAATCAGATTTTGTCAGATTCGCTCTTTTTTTTTTTGTTTATGAAGTAAAAAAACGTCAGAGTGCTTTAAAAAACAAACTTTTCTTCAATTTGCGACTAAATCACACATAATCACTGAAGTTGTTGGTCAGTTTCATATAAGACAATAGAAGAATAATGGTTTAATAAGAGTACAATATATATCTTTTCTACATAAAAATTAGATCTTGCACGTTACTGTTGTTAATAAAATACATTTTGTAAGCTTCCCAACTCAATCTTAGTGCTTTACTGTCAAATGTGTTTAAACATGAAATAAACAAGAAATGAACATGTAATATTATTAGTAACTGCACTTATTAATGCAAAACAATAGTCATTTTATCATATCATGTATATATATTTGTCATATCTCTCTGAAATTAAAAGAATACTGCACATTGTAATCTCTATGAGTTAAGTCTATTTATTATCAAATCATTGGTCAGCAATACAGTTAAAATGTGGAAAATATGTGAACGATTGCATTGCAGGATGATTTAAGGTGTGCCCCTAAATTTTCTGCTTGTGCTCCTAAAAATGTTCAGTCAGGGGCTACAGTGCTCCTAGTAAAAATATTTAGTCTGGAGCCCTGCAAAAACCTATACAGGGATATTTTTGCCTTCATAACTTGAATTATATGCGCATTCTAACTGCTTTCTAATAGATGTTCTTTTCTTTTCCAACAGCCCACTGTTTGTCACTTGGAAAATCGGCCGGGACAAGCGGTTAAGGGGTTGTATAGGTACATTTTCTGCCATGAACCTGCACTCAGGACTCAGGGAGTACACCCTTACCAGGTATGCCACATCCCTCTTTGAAATTCTGCTTTTCTCTTTCTAATGTGTATTCTAATGTGATATTATTTTTGATATTATTTAAAGGGGTCATATGATGCGATTTCATTTTTTCCTTTCTCTTTAGAGTGTTACAAGCTCTTGGTGCATAAAGAAGATCTGTAAAGTTGCAAAGACTAAAGTCTCAAATCCAAAGAGATATTCTTTATAAAAGTTAAGAGTTAGCCACACCTACCTAAAACGGCTCGTATGCACCAAGTGTAACACTCCAAAGAGAAAGGAAAACTTGAAATCGCATCATATGACCCCTTTAACTTTTCTTGAAAAAAGTCACTGAAAAAAAAAAATTTTTTATAGTGTTTTTTTACTGCCAAATGGAATTGCAAAATAAATAAATACATTTAAAAAAATAAATAATAATTAGTGTCTCTAAACAGGTTTCCTACACTTTTTCCACCATCCCCCTTTTCTATTATTCAGTTAACACATTGTCCAACCCCAAGCGCACACCACTGAAATTTTATTTGTAAAATATGTTTTGAAAGCACCGCAGTGTCTATACCAGGGTTGTTAAAGGCTATGTTCAGACTGCAGGCAAAGGTGGCCCTAATCTGAATTTTGTGAGTCACAAATGTGACTTGAATAAGTGTGAATAGCACAAACCACATGAAATCTGACATTTTCTTTTCTTTTGATTAGTTAGAATTTTGATCCTAAATTTAACATGCAACAAATATTCTACATGATACTGCACTCCCTCTCTATTGACAGGAGTAATAATAATAATAATAATAACAACAATACATTTGTTAGGTTTCTTGAAAATATCAATGTGAATGTGATGTGGACTGAGCCACTATCACAACTAAAAAGAGGTTTGAGTCTACTTTAAAGTTTTCAAGTCAAGGCATTAATCTTGACAACGTTTTGATGGTAAACTCTATTTTAAACAATTGTGAGTCTCGCATCCAGAATGCCATTTGGTTGTTTTTTGCTTTTTTGTAATTTCAGCAAAATTGCAGTCTGTACTGCACCAGTTTTCACTTTTCAGGAAGAAGTCAGCCCTACTTGAAGTTGCCTATGCACTTTAACAGTTGTACATGCATTGCCTGTAAAGAACATCTTAGACGTCTCTTTCTCAAGCAGCTGCTTGACCTTGCTTCCAAGCTAGTCATCCATCTCTAGAACTACAGCCACATTCTTCCCTCAGCAGGAACGGAGACACCAGAACAGATGCTTGGGTCTTGGCTCGGCTCAGCCCAGCATTCGCTGCCAAATTCCCACTTCTCCATCCTCTCGTTAACTTTGAAGCAGCTTATATAACCAATAACAATGTTGTTAACCTCCAGGCTTCCACATTCGGTTTGTGAATCAGTCTGGTGTCAGAGGTGGCAATGAGTAAAGTAATGAGTATAGTAATGCGTTGTTGTGGCTAGAATTAAGCATCACGGGTGCTGCTGCCATAAACTTTTTAATCCATACAATAAAAGTCATTTTGGTGCATGCAAATAAAATGTTGAAATTCTCTATGTATAATAATAATAAATTTACAGAATAAACTCCATAAGGCCATCGATTGGCCAATCAGAACTAAGTATTGTAACAAGTCCTGCACAAGTTCATGCATGTTTTCGTCACCTAGCATTAACATCCATTTCATATCCGGATAGTATTTCGATATTTTTATTTAGGATGACTTTAATGTGGTCTTATTTGATCCGATCACAAAAATGCATGATAATTACGGTTGCAAATGAGGCCAATAAGTGCAATTCCATGTTCAATTCAATTTTCAAATTCTTAGAATTTTTTTTTTCCCCCCATATTTTTCCAAGTCCTGTTGGATATCTTTGGTCAGTCATTCATGAGGGATGTTTTGTTTTTATATCCTGCATGCCTATTTCCTGAATATGCCAAAATGTGCCAAGAGCTTACCAAACAGTCTACAAAAACTGAAAAACTGTGCTGTGGATCGTTTTACATTTAGTGCTTTGTCATGTTCTGTGCACACACTGATGGAGAAATAGTGAAGCTTTAATCAGCTTAATTGCTTCTCGTGGGTAATGAAGTAGTGGTGAAAAACACAAGCAACAGTTGACATCTGGGAAATGTTCTCATGGGATCTGTCAGCATTAGGAAAGCTACATGGAGTACAGAGCATTTGATTTGAAAGTAGGTGTGTTTTGGCACAGCTCTTCACTGTGTATTTGAGAATCTTAAAATTAAAAATGAAAATTTGCATTAATTTACTCATTGTCATACCATAGGTACTGATCCCATGGTTGCTTGAAGAATGGCAGGGCACCCACGAAAAAAAAATTCACATCAGGTCCCTACAGGTGGTCATACACATAAATGCATTTTTTTAGTGACTAGTTAAGTTCGTTCTGTTCCCAAAATCAGTCACTAATCTTGAAAAATGCAAGCATTGAATCAGACTTGTCATTATTAATGATATTAATCTTCAGTCATTTATGGAGGGCCATTCCAAGATTGATGATCAACCCACAGACATGATAGATCACATCAAATGTGTGACACCTGGCAACCAAAAAATTGAATCTTGTATCATGATATGAATAATTTATGATAATAGTTTATATTGCATTAGTTATTTTGTTGAAAATGTAAATGTTAATAAATAAATAATATATATGTAGTAATAATAATAATAATCATAATGTAATATATGTGTATAATAGTAATAGTAGTAGTAGTAGTAGTAGTAGCAGTAATAATAATAAATTAATAATGATTTCTCAAGTATTTCATTTTTTAATTTTCGTTTTTTCAACAGTCAATCCTGGAATATATACCAGAAAAATGTATAAAATATGCTGTCACAATATTTTTTTCCCATATCGTACAATATTGATATTTATCATGATATTAATTTATCATTAATGGGAAAGAAATGCTTTCCACATGTTGGTTTGAACTTGAGAATGAAGGTAAACATAACTAATGGTGTCTAATGAAATGAATTAATAACACTTTAACAATTTAATCAATCATTTAAATGAAAATCAGTTTACAACAAAACAAAACATTGCATTTTTATTTTTTCAGATAAGATGCTGCACAACAGAACTGTATACATTCATAATAAAAAAAAAAATAACTTGATTGTCGTGATGGTCTTTCAGTTTTACTTTAAGTTTTAGTGTGTGTTTGAAGTAGAGGTCTGCGCGGGACTGTTTTTTTAGTCCCACTCCCGCAAGGTTATATTCCGCACCCACCTGCTCCCGCTATATATTCACTCTTTGTTCACCCGCTGTCCGCTTAGAATACTTTTCTTCCCGACCCGACCGTTCCCGCTAAATTTAGATCTCGTTTCCAGAATCTCACATTTAAATCAACGGGATATTGTTAGACCGCCCGCTCCCGTTCAAATTACACCAGAGTTACCGACCGCTACCGCGTTTTATTCGGGAATTTAATCCTGCGGTGCAAAAAATCCGGTCGGGTGCAGACCTCTAGTTTGAAGGAAGTGTTTCTAAAATGAATTGGTGTAAAGCTGGTAAAATGACTCTGAGCAGCTCTGAAGATGAAGTTCATGTGTTCATATCCTCATATATTAAGACACTGAAATCACTGCGAGTGTCACGTTTGTTTGAGTTTGTGTATCAGTTTAAACCGCACCATTCATTCACATGCAGAACATGCAGACTTTTTAATGGCAAGCACTGACTGGCTGCTGTCGTGTTTGTTTCTGCTGTGTGATAGGACGTTAGATTAATCCATACAGTTATGGAGTAAAAATGTCCAGAGCTTATTATCGTTATCCACATACATTTTTATTGTGATCTTGATACGACATTGTTTATCGCCCAGCGCTAATTCAGGCTATTTATAGAATGTGCTTGGCGGCCGACTCAGAGACTCCATGCAGGCTACCTGACTTACAAAGTTTGCCAAAGGAACCCTGCTTCCTTATTCCTTCTCTCACTGTTGATCTTTCTTTGGTGATGGGTTTTCCTTATGGAGTCTTCTCTTTCTGAGACATTATGACCTCGTCTTTTGTGTCTGCCAGTTTTTGTCTACGAATCTAGATCAACTCACTAGGTTGTTAGACAACTAGTCATTCTGACCGATACCTATTCATACTCGAGTCGTAAATACTTGTTAATCGCAATTTTTTAAAATTGTGTCAGGCTGCTAGATTTATACCTCAGTTTTTTTCATTGAATGTTAATCATGGTTTCACATTGTACCCATGGTATGGCTTTGTCCTAAATCTTGTGCCTTCATGTCGTCTTCACAGTGCCCTTAAAGACAGTCGCTTTCCCCCCATGACGAGGGACGAGCTGCCGCGCCTCTTCTGCTCAGTGTCTCTGCTCACCAACTTTGAGGATGTTGGTGATTACCTAGACTGGGAGGTAAGAGCGCAGAAGCTATTACCATCTGTTATTCACAAGATTAAACAAACTCTCTGTACACTTAAGGTTTTTTTTTTTTTTGCTGCACACGTTTTAGTTATAAATGCCACTTGCCACTAAATCACTGTTCCCTGAAGAGGTAAATAGGTGTCTGTTCACTGAATTATTTGCACAAGTTTTATTTAGGGTCAGTCTTATGTGGTCCAACAGAGACCACCATTTGAAATGGGAAGTCTGAACCGCTAACCTGACCAGGCCACTAGAAAAAATATTTAGCGTTAACCCTAACATGGAATTTCACAGGGATGGGTGATTTTTCCGATATTATCGATTCATTTGAATTTAATGTTTTGCCATGATTTTATTTTTCATAAAACAAGGAATCGTGATTTTGAATAGAACTATAACCAAACTGTAGAATTATACACGTTGATAATGTTAATGATAACAGTTAAGAGAAAAGAATGATCCAACCTCATGATGGTGCAATGGTCAAATGCTTCCATCAGGCACATTTTTACATAGAAGAAAAACAATGAAAAGCAGCACAGTGGAATAATAATAATAAAGAAAACTGTAAATAACTACTACTAGGCTGAAACTGCTGTTAGTTTGTTTATACAAAACATTTAATAATAGTCTACTGGTGTTTTAATTTTAGTCATTTTGAAATAGAATTTTATTGACTTTTGAGGCTTTTTTTTAACATTCTTTGATATTTCTGAACATATGTTTGACAAGTTTGAACAATATGTGCCTTCATATTGCATGAATCTTTTCTGCTAAATATTTAACAAGTGAGTCAAGTTACATTTGCACCATGTTGAGTTATGTGTGCTGCACTTGGAATAGAACTTTCTTCAACTAGATGGTTAATAAAGAAATTGTTAATTGAATAATGTTGTAATTGCATTTTTAAGTTGACTAGATAAATGTAAAAAAAAAAAGCAAATTGAAATCGAGAATCTGTCAAATGTTCGGGGGGGGGGAAAAAAATCGAGATTTAGTTTTTTGCCATATCACCCAGCCCTAGAATTTCATGCCTTATACCAATAACTGATACTTTAAATTTATTTTTTAATTAAATAAAAAGTACTGTTTGATTAAATATAAGCTGCTTAGTTGAACATGTGTGACACTTACAAATGTTATGCTGATTTAAAGAGTCATAAATGAAAATATAGCTGCAAGCAGCAATGATGGGCACAGGCATGGATTTAGGAAAACAATGCACAGTGGGCACATGCATTTAACCCTCTGGTAGTCTTTGGTTGTTAGTGATGAAAAAACCTACAATGCTCAAAAAAATTAAAGGAACACCTTTTAATCAGAGTATAGCATCAAGTCAATTAAACTCCTGGGATATTGATCTGGTCAGTTAAGTAGCAGAGGGGGTTGTTAATCAGTTTCAGCTGCTTTGGTGTTAATGAAATTAACAACAGGTGCACTAGATGGGCAACAATAGGCGTGTTTCCATTACAGATTTGCGCAAAACTTTGGCGATATTTTATAAATGTCGATACAAAAGTATTGCGAAATGACGGCGTTTCCATTAACCAATGTTATAAGACTTAAACGTAACCTTTTGACTCTCGCGATAAGTCATGGCAACGGATTTTAGTGGGATTTTGGCTATATTTATTCAAAGGAGACATATGCGTGTATCTTTACAGAAGCAGCAAAGAGCCGCTTCAGAAACGTGCGTGGCACGGCTGGAATAAACCATAGCCTGTATAAAAACATAAACACAAGCATTGAGCCCTGACTGCCATTAGGTATCGGGATGAAATCCTTGGACCCATTGTCAGACCCTACGCTGGTGCAGTGGGTCCTGGGTTCCTCCTGGTGCACAACAATGCCGGCCTCATGTGGCGAGAGTATGCAGGCAGTTCCTGGAGGATGAAAGAATTGATACCATTGAATGGCCCCCACGCTCGCCTGACCTAAATCCAATAGAACACCTCTGGGACATTGTTTCGGTCCATCTGACACCGCCAAGTTGCACCTCAGACTGTCCAGGAGCTCAGTGATGCCCTGGTCCAGATCTCGAAGGAAATACCCCAGGACACCATCCGTCGTCTCATTACAGACGTTGTCAGGCATGCATACAAGCACATGGGGGCCATACAAACTACCGAGTACCATTTTGAGTTGCTGCAATGAAATTTCAGCAAAATGGACTAGCCTGCTGCATCATTTTTTCACTTTGATTTTCAGGGTGTCTTTGAATTCAGCCCCTCTGCAGGTTGATCATTTTCATTTCCATCAAACAATGTGGCATCTTTTCATTCCTAACACATTACCCAGTCCATATCAGTATAGATATCCAGCATGATATTTGCCCCCATTGAGATCTGATGTGTTTTCAAAGTGTTCCTTTAATTTTTTGAGCAGAGTAATTGCATATATGTGATGTCATTGTGTGATTACATAAACAAACTGGTAAATCAGTTATTGGAACCAGTTCATTGAAATGAACTGTCCGAAAGAGCCAGTTCACGGAAACAAATTGGTCTTTCCCATTCGTCGGAGGCTCTGAATTATAGGTAATAATGTTGTAAATAATGTTTAGTTTCTTGCACGGATCGATCGTTTCACTTCACAAGACCATTGCTCTCACTGATAGTTTGATCAGAGATTTCAAGCCAGTGGTTCCCAACCCTGTTCTTGGAACCCCCTCAACACTGCGCATGTTGAATCCTCTCCTCTCTTTGTCTTACACACTCATTTCAGGTCTTGGAAGCTCTACACAGCTGATGACCTGAATCGGTTTATTAGGGAGACATGCAAAATGTGCCCTGTTAAGAAGGAGATCCGGGAACAGGGTTTTGAACCGCTTACAATTAGGGCGCCTTCCACCAAGTATAATAATGAGGGGAAATGTTTTTATGCTCATTACTTCCTTAACTCCACATTGCTCCTCTTCACACATAAGCCCAATGACTGTGTGTTCTTTTCTTTGCTGCTTGTATCACATAAATGCAAATAGAAAAGTTACAGTATTACAGACAAATTAGAACATCAATAGCACTAAGTTCTTGGGTTCAATTTGCATGGAATGCGTGCATGTTTAAAATCTGTATCTTAATGCAGTGCAAGCCACTTTAGATAAAAGTGTCCTCCAAATGCATACATGTAAATGTTTCTTCTCTTCCAAATGACCCCCTGACAAACACACACACACCTAAATTATTACAAGAAACAAGGATCTCCTTGCCTCTGCTTTTGATATCCACATTCGTCTCATTCTTTTTTTATCCCTTGAAGGGATAGGTTTTATCCCAGTTTCTGGTCAAATGGGATGCCTTTCACATTTCTGGCAGTACAGGCTGACATATTAAAATTTGTGATTCTTCCATGGGGAACGGATAGTTACTGAATGAATATAATGTTATATCAAAA